CGGTGGCACCTCGGGCCAGCCCCAAGCCCCCGACACTCATCATCAAGACCATTCCTGGCAGGGAGGAGCTGCGGAGCCTGGCGCGGCAGCGGAAGTGGCGGCCGTCCATTGGGGTGCAGGTATGGAAGGAGGCGGGCAGCCAGCCGGGGGACTCGGCCGGGTCGGTTGGGGATGGGTGGAGTGGGCCATCGGGGCCTTCTGGATGCATAGGCCTTTTCCTTGGCTTACTCTGAGCTGCAGGTAGCCCCTGGGCCTGGCCATGGACAGGGCTGCTCCAAGCAGCCCCAGCCCACACCCTTGTCCTTCTTCCTGGCACCATCATCCCTACTGGCGAGTGGAGAGTGGTTCCCAGAATTTGCCACCTTGATGCCGCTGATTCTTGAGTCTCTCATCTTGTTTAGGCAGATTGTCTTTGCAGGATCTGCCAGCAGGCTGGGGTGGGGGCGGGGTCCAACATTGCTGGCCTTTCTCCCTGGGAAAATCTTTCGTCCCTGGTCTAGCCCCCGCCCTGACTCCCCAACTTTGCCACCAGGTGGAGACTATCTCTGACTCGGACACGGAGAACAGGAGTCGAAGAGAGTTCCACTCCATAGGCGTCCAGGTGGAAGAGGACAAGAGGTAGGTCTGAGTGGGGCCATCCTAAGCCTCTTTGGGGGAGAAGAGGAGAGAAGGCTGCATATCCACTTCATTGGCCTGGTCTCCCTGGGCACCCTCTCTTCCTGGCTGAGACCAAGCCCTTTTAATGGGGAGGAGTCAGAGCAGCCACTGAGGTTATCCACAGAGAATAGGCAGTCATCAAATCTAAATGAGTTCTCCTTGTACCCATGCCTGTCCCCGGTGGTCGGAGGTGGACAGGAGCAATACAGAGGTTGAGGGCAGGGAGTGGTAGGGAGAGGTAACAGGTAGGTGCCGAGCAGGTCTCCAACAACTGTCCTTTACAGGGGATAACAGGATTTTGCCAATCCCTTGTTAACTTCCTGTGGTGTACAAGTATGTGAGCTCAAAGAAAAACAAATAAATCTGAAGATTGCCTCTCAGGGGCCCCTGGCACATATAGCACTCCTCTTCACTTGGCTCACACAGCATTTAACCGGTTGGGGGTACCTATTATATGCCTGAGTCATTGGTGTACCCGAGATGGTGGCATTACCAACAGCCAGCATTCTGGCATTAGGTGGCCTCAGAAACATTGCTTCCTTAATTTCTCATGGGAAAATTAGCATTGTGAGCTCTGGAGGGAATACTGGGAGAAGTCCCTCTGTTGTTGAGTTCCTGTGGGAAGATGCTTTCTTTGATGACCAGGTGGCAGTGTCCATGTGGCCCATCTGCCCTCTGGGCTACAATGCCACCAAGCCGGTGGCCCTAAGTATGGTTTCTGCCTGAGGCTGGCTGTTAAGAGTTACATGGTAATCCGTGTTGTTCAAGCCATACCCACTGGAGGAATAAAACTAGAGTCCCAGTAGCAGTCCCTTGCAGCGCTGTTCCAGTTGCCATTGTTGGGCCTCCCCTAAAGTTCCCCAACTATTCTGGGAACTCCTGGAGTGTCTTGTGTGTGTGCCTGATCAAATGTTTTTCTCTACTCTTACTCTAGCTCCCCTTGCAGCTCTACATGCTGCTGAGACTGTAAATGCCCCCATCAAGGATGGCAAAATTTGCTTTTGTTGCCCCCATCACTCCTGAAAGCTATTATCCTCTAAACCAGTGGTTCTCAACCTTCTGGCTCTTTAAATACAGTTCCTCATGTTGTGACCCAACCATAAAATTATTTTCGTTGCTACTTCATAACTGTAATGTTGCTACTGTTATGAATCGTAATTTTTCTGATGGTCTTAGGCGACCCCTGTGAAAGGGTCGTTCGACCCCAAAGGGGTCGCGAACCACAGGTTGAGAACTGCTGCTCTAAACCCTTATTATTTCACAGAGATCACAGAAAAGTAGCACTTTATGGCCAAGGGGTCGCGAACCACAGGTTGAGAACCGCTGCTCTAAACCCTTATTTCACAGATCACAGAAAAGTAGCACTTTATGGCCAGCTTTATAGTCTATGACTTGAGTTTCTTGAGAGGTGTGTTAGGAGGTATGGATGGGTACAGCTCTGTGTTCAGAACCCTTGCCCCCGTCTAATGCTGCCCCATGGATCATAAACTAAGCCCATGTGCTCCTCACTCCTAATGAGGCTTCTTGGTCCCTCACACAGATACATCTCTGGGGTCCTCCTATTCCTCCTAACAAGCCTGAATCCTAGGAAGAGTGCAGGAGGCATTCTACTGAGACTCTGGCTAAACCAGCAAATTCTGTCATTCATTCATTGAGTCATTCATTCAGAAAATACTTGTTAAATATATGACAGCTCCTGTTAAATGCTCAGGGAAATATCAAAGACCTGACTCTTGCCCTCATAGAAGTTATGGTCTAGAGAGGAATCAAGGCAATGAATAAATCATCCATGAATAAAAATATGATTACTCATTGCAGTATAACATATAATGGGGTATTATTTCACATTATGGTGGGAGTATGAAAGAAAAAAAGCAGGAGCTGAGAGAGAAAGGACCTTATTTAAGTTAAGCAGGAGACATTTAAGCTGAGACTTGTGGATTGACTGGAAACACTCAGGTGATGAGGGGTGCGGGCAGTGTGAATCTTTCCTGGAAGATGGAATAGCATATGTGAAGGTGCTGGGGCAGGAAAGAGTTTGACCTGCATCAGGAACTAAAAGAAGGTTTATGTGGCCGGTGTGGAATGGGGCAGTGGCAGGGGCCAGGTCATGCCGAGCATGGGCATGATAAAGAAGTAGAATTTAATGATAACTAATGAGTAGCTATTAAGAGGTTAAAGGAGTGTGACATGATCTAATTTATGTTTATAAAAGATCACTAGCTGCTGAGTGGAGAATGAATTTGAGGGAAGTAATAGTGGATATGGGGGAGAAAGGTGATGGTCTTTTGCATTATGGGAGATCTTGTGTTGGGGATCTTCTTTCTATTGTACTTTATAATTGGGCACTGCTAGTGTATGGGGACACTGTTAAGTTTTATATATTTGTTTTATATTTAGCAACTTTGCTGCTCTCTTTTATTAGGACTCATAGTTTACCTGACAATCATGATGGGTTTTCCATATAGTCAGTTTTTTTTTCTGCAAATAAGGACATTTATTTAAATCTGTTTTTTTAAAAAATTTATTTTTGTAATAGTGCATTGAATAGGACTTCTAGTTCGCTGTTGGGGGTACCATGCTTGTCCCAATCCTGATGTTAGTGGATATCTTCTCAGTTCCCACTCATAAGTATGATGATGTTTGCTATAGATTTTGATGAGTACTATTTATCAGGTTGAGGAAATTCCCTTCTATTCCTATTTGGCTAAGAGTTTTCATTTTAATTTTTTTAAAAATAGAAAATGAGAGTGGAATTTTATTGAATGCTTTTTTCAGAAACTACTTAGATGATCATAGATTTTTCTCTTTTTCTTTGTAACATGGTGAATTATATTAATGGATTTTTCCATGTTGACCCATTCTTTCATTCCTGAGATAAACCCTACTTGATACTATTATCAGTTGAGATTAAGTTTGGCTGTGAGTAATAGGGCCTCAATAGTGCCTTAATGTTTTTCCCCGATATAAAAGAAAAAAAGAAACCCAGCCTGGCCAGTGTTGCTCAGTGGTTGAGTGTTGACCGATGAACCAGACAGTCAAGGTTCGACTTCCCGTTAGGGCACATGCCTGGGTTTTGGGCTCGATCCCCAGTGTGGGATGTGCAGGAGGCAGACGATTAATGATTCTCCCTCATCATTGATGTTTCTTTCTCTCTCTTCCTCTCCCTTCCTCTCTGAAATCAATAAATATAT